AAAGGTTTAATCACTGCTTGTGCTATTGTGTGGGCTACTGTAATTTGCCTCCAGCTCTGCAGAACTGAAGGAAACCTGGAGGTATCCACCACCAGCCCTGGCGCGGCAAGTCTAGAGATTTGTCCTCCCTTCACCTCTCACCCAGAACTCAAGCCCCTGGGGACTAAATGGCTTTCGGTTTCCTAAAGCTCTCTGTGGTTCACCAGCTGCCCAGTTGTCCCTACCTGAATGGCTGCTGCCTCCTTTACCACAGGACCTCAGCCACCGAGGCTTTTGACTGAGTAACTCCCAAAGATCTGCCTGTTGTTCTCAGTCCAGGCACAGCAACCATAGAGGACACGGCCCCATCTTAGATGTTGGGATGTACTACACAGCCTGGATAGCATGGGCTTTTAGAATAGATTTGTATTAATGAAGTGCACCAATGATTTCACAAGGAAACTGCTCAGAAGATTTCCTCCTTAGCCTATGAGAAGGATCATGGCCACATCAGAAATGGGGATACATCCTAGTCTGTGTGAATTTATTTGCTGCTGTAAAAGCCAAGTGCGTACCATAACCACTGGAGACAGCAAAGCTGGGCAAACACTGCAGCACTTCACTAGAGACCGTGGTACCTGCATTGCACAGAACACAACTAAGATAGCAGTACACTATTAATGTCCCTTGTAAACAGCATGGGAGGGGAGACAGCACAGCACATGAAGGTCAGATGCTTTTTGGACATCAGTGTGTTTAACACCATCAGAACTAGCCCATAGAAGTAGTCAAAAAATACCAAATAAACAATCGATCATCTCGGTCATTACAGTTGGCAGAGCATTGCTGTAATCAGCGATGCTTAATCTCCCGTTCTATTCAATTCCTCGGTGTTCAAGTGATTTTTTGTGAAAGGTTGCTAGCAGGCTGAGAGGCATGAAGGTAAAAAGCTGAGATTCGCTGTTTGCTATTTTATCCATTGCAAAATAGAAGGACAGTAGTGCTGTAGAAAATCTTCCTCCCAAGTAGGTATGGACATTAAAAAGTTTGCACTTAGAAACAAGACAGGAGGTTGCTTCTGTAACATCTCCAGGGCTGCCAGTCCCTCACCTTCCTGGTTGCCTATATGTCATTCCAGTTAAGGACAAACTGGGACTCGGTGCCTGCTTCATGCCTGTGTTTGTCACGGTAACACGTCTGTCCTGACCTGGATCTCTGACTCTACCTCTGGACGTTTCCCCAGAAGAGCAGGCTGGAGCTGCTGCATCCGTCTCCCTGACATGTACTGTCACCAAGGTGATGGGGGGCAAAACGAAGCAACAACTGCGTTTCCTTAGCTCCAGCAGTAAAAGTTAGAGGGAGCCAAAATTTTCGTATTTAATGGCCAGCAGAAGATAGTAATTGATCAGGAAAAGTTCACCCTGCTGTCACCCTTGATCACACAGCTCTTCTTGACCACAGAGCTATCTGGAATGTTCTCCAAATGGTACATGAACCCTTCTGATAACTTATTTTTTCCTATCCAAGGCTGAATGAAAATATCAAATCAGTTGTAGGAACTGTTTTTCTGGACACTTGTTCTTTCTTTCCCCAGACCATAGCAATCTGTTACCGTAAGATTATTTCTTCACCGACTTAGCTTAATGGTTGACATTCCTCTATAATAAACTGTGTAAGACACCAAAGCACGGGTTGGTACCAGGTTGGGCTGATGTCCCTTCAGTGTCCCGCTCGAGGGGTTTCCCTGGCAGCCCATCTCGGGTGAACAGCTGGCTGTTGGCAGCACAGCTTGTGTGAGGGCAGCGGGCTGGGAAGCGGTTGCAGCAGCACCTCCACTGCCAGAGAGCGAGGGGCAGCTGGAAAGGAGCCGGCGGGAGCCAACGCATCGCCAGACGTACCTGCCTGCCTCCTCCAGACATGGCACATCTGAAATGGTTTCCCCTGGCTGCTGCTTGTCCCCTCCATGCAGCCTGGCAGAGGGTGGGGGTGCCCATTGCTAGCACCGAGGGGTCACAGTAATGCCCTTCACCCCCCATTTTCCTTGGAGGGTGAGTAAAACTTGACATAAGAGGCAGGATGAGACAAAATGGTGGTGTCATGTATTTAGCTCTGTTTTAAGCACATGGTAGCAGCATTTGTAGTCTCATTTTTACAAAATACACAGTAGTTTTCTATCTTCTTGTTGCTGTCAACTGTACAGCACTGGAAAGCAGTGCTCTGAGTAGGAGGAAAAATACAATAGTAGCTTTTGACCAGCTTTCATTTTTGCCACCTACGAAACAAAACTTTTCTAACACAGCAGTCCAGCTGTTCTAGCATTTCTAAAAGTTTTCATCCCCCTCCAGTGTTTAAGGCAATAGGCTATTCTAGTTTTCGCTACCGAGAAAGCCAGTGGTTGCTGCAGTACCAGAGGCAGAAGGCAGCAGAGAGTTATCAGAGGAGAATCCTTCGGGTTGATAGAGAGAATAAGACGGTTTATCAAGCCGCAGGAGAATCCCTCCTCATGCGTCCCTCGAGCTCCATGGCAGAAACCTGCCTGCTCCAGACCAGGTGGTCGTTTCCAGACGTAGAGCTCTTTGTGAAGGTGAGCACTGTAAAGGAATCCAACGGCACTGTTTGTTTATGGTGAACTTTTTACTATATTTGAGATTCATTTGATCGTGTCGAGGAAGGTGAAAGAGCAAGCAGAACTGGTTTCATTAGTGTGTGTTGTTTAGTTATAAGGTCTGCAAACCTTAATGAACTAACCTATTAACTAAGTAAATGATACACCTGGTTTTTTACTTCTGCGCCCTTACATTTAATCTAAGTTTTAAAACTACTCTTTAGGAGAATCATATGAAGGGCTTAAAAATTAGACCGCTGATCTCTTCCAACAACATAGTGTGAAGCCTAACTTAACCAATAGAACCTGTGCAAGACTTGGCCTCATTTTAACAAAGCCTCTTAACAAAATAAGAGAGAGCAACGCTTCTGTGGCCACACGTACGGTGAGTTGCGCCTCTTGTGCTTTACACTGACACCTGGTGATTTGCTTAGCCAAAAGGGAAGGACCATCATTACAGGGACACACAGAAAGAGAGGTTACGTGACTTGGATACGGCCACACTTCAGTCGTAAAAGTGGGAGCCTTGGGTCTATAACGAGGAAGGATTAGACAGGGGGATGTGGCACTTGTGCTTCCTTAGTCCTCAGTTCAGCAAAGCGCAGAGATGGGTGGGTGCAGCTGGAGCAAGGCTACTGTCAAACTTCCCTTCTTCTCTGGGGCCCCCACAGTTGTTTAGTTTGAAATTCTTAATTATTTGATTTATTCTGTTTATTCCCTTAAGTGCTTTAGATGTTACATCTCAATTTATGCTGGTAAATCTTTCTCTATTTGTTTCCCGTGATCATAAACTGATTTAACTTGTTTTAATCTTGTAGTGACTTAAGTAGATTTATGTTCACATAGACAAATGAGGTGGAGACTATTTCCTTTGGAAGGACTGCTGTGATTTCAGTTTTGTTTTCTAACTTATGGCAATATTCATTATGCATTTTAATGAAAAACTACGTCTCCAAGATGACAGGATTCTTCATCATATCTATGTGCATGTTTGGAGAAGGATATAAAGGAACTTTGCGTGAAAATAGGTGTTAGTAGAGATGAGTAACATGCTGTACGTACTCATAGCAGATCTGGGTTTTCTGCTTTCCAACTGCATCTGCTATCAAAATTTGCTGTCATCAGATGTATGTATACCTTTTTTTTTTTTTTTTAATTGTAGGCTGGCAGTGATGGGGAAAGTATTGGAAATTGCCCGTTCTCTCAGCGTCTCTTTATGATTCTGTGGCTAAAAGGTGTCATATTTAATGTCACAACTGTGGATTTGAAAAGGTGAGATTGTAACCAGAGTTCTCCTTTTCAGAACAACTTTTCCAAAATGGTGATTTTAAAGGGTGATTCTCTTCTGATAGATTTGAAATGCGCACCATGGCTTGGCATTACGTTAACAGTCTGGAGGCCTGATTCCTCTTTAGGGTTCACTAGTGTAAAGTGGACCAACCCCTTTGAAGCAGTTGAGATTTTAATCTGTTTTGCAGTAGGTCTCTGTAACATAACACAGGAGTTTTGGGGTTTTTTTTAAGCATTTCAGAGCGCATTCAGATAACGGGTTAGCGAATTCTCACACCACCAGTGTGAGGCACTGACTAAGTTTTATTTTGTAAGAAAGATGTAGAGCAGCCTGCTATTTTAAAGGTGAAACAGTTTGTTGCAATTAAGCATCGAAATTGCAAATGTGGTTCCTGTTGTGATTTACCCCATCTCTTTCCTCCCATTAGAAAGCCTGCTGATCTGCAGAACCTCGCCCCGGGAACAAACCCCCCCTTCATGACATTTGACGGTGAAGTGAAAACTGATGTCAATAAGATCGAGGAGTTCTTGGAAGAAAAGCTAGCGCCGCCCCGGTACTGTATTCCTGGCCGCTTCTATTGCTTTTAGCCCCTCACGGCCCTCGACAGGGGTCAGTGCCCAAACCCCCTTGGTTTTGGTGGGTCAGGCCCTCGATGAGCTGCAGGTGTTATAATTGCACGTGGGAGGCTCGGGGAGGCTGGTCCGGCCGCCGTGGTGGAGCTTGCAGGGAGGGGTAGCTTTGACTGGTGTGAAACAGTGCTGAAGCCTGGCACCATGCGGGGGGTATCCCCGGGGTGGCCCCGAGACGCTGCCTGCGCTCCTCCCGCCGCCCTCGCCTTTGCCCTGAGTTCACTACCAGTGACCACAGTCATTCCCAAAGCATGAAATCCACCCCGCTGCAGCAAGCATGTGCAGAAACCTGCATGCCACTGCAGAAACCTGACCTCTTTTCCTCCGCTTGTGTTTGTTGGAGGTTTCCCTCTTCACACTGTGCAAATAATTACGCTTAGTGGGAGCAGGTAGTTGGAGGAAAAGGGCAGTGAAAGCCTCCCACACGGCAGACGTGCTGGGGCTCATTTTGAGTGGCCGGGTGGGCCTATCCGAGCACACAGCAGGGTCTGGGTTTCAGACTTGTCCTTCCCCACCCCAGCAGCTCTTCCCACCTCTCCCCAAACCCCGCTGTCCCACCATCAGTAGTATTGTGTCCCCCACCCACGCACCTTCTCTCCCCTGGGACAGCAGCCCCCTCCGCAGCGCTCCCTTCTCAAGCAGCTGAACCTGACTTAAACTAGGCAAGCAGCTACTCCCCTCTGCTTCTCCCTTCCTATCTGCCCCTGGCAACCACAGCTGCTGGACTGGCTGCTCTGAGCTCCTCCAGGCAAGGAGGCTAGGAGGAGCAGCAGCTGTTGTGAATAGGGACTTCCCCTCTGCTCCTCCTCATGGCAGAAGCCACGCTCCACACAGCCTCACCTCCAGTGGAGGAGGCCTGGGAGAGGCACTGGGCTGTTTGGGCAGTATTTGCAGCGTGAACAGTCATTTCCCATCTCCCTTAGGAAAAGGAGGTAATCCACATGGTTTAACTGTGGTTTAAATTTGCACTTGCTAAGTGTTTTTTAGTTCAGGATGGCTCCCTTTGAGAGTCCTGTGTGGCCGTATATTGTGATGCTGCAATGTAAATAATGTGTATTAAATAATTAGTGGAGATGAAAATAAAGGCTAGTCGTATAACTTCTTTTTGTTTCTTTTGACTCCTCAGGTATCCCAAACTTGCACCAAACCACCCCGAGTCTAACTCTGCAGGAAATGATGTGTTTGCAAAATTCTCTGCGTTCATAAAGAACCCAAGAAAAGATGCTAATGAAAGTATGTGCTGCGGTCCTTTCGTCAGCCCTGGTAGTTACTGGAAAAAATTAGGCTGTACAGTTCTAGCACACTGTGCTGGAGGTATCCCATTCACAGCTTAGGTTAAGCAGTCATTTTTCAGAGCATAAAGGCTGTGGAAATCTGTGCCTGTTCACTCTCTTATTTGAGGATTCCCAAAGTTAGTTTACACAGATACGGCTGTCAGCATGGGAGCACCAACTCCAGCTCCTCCTCGTTTCTTCAGCTCTCAAGCCCGTAACACTGCACCTTCCCCACAGCTCTGCTAAAAGCACAGCCCGCTTGAACTGAGACCTTACCTTTCTGCTCCATTTCTGTAAATAATGAGGACTCTAGCCCCATGGCATCTCTCTCTAGAGCGGGACGCTCACTACCACCATGCATTAACTCATCTCTGTCCTCCAGCTCTCAGCCTTGTTCCCTTTGCTCTTCCCTTCTCCCCTCTCCACAGTGGCACGCGGGCACCACCAGCCCACAGAAATCCCAGCCGACCTTTGCCAGCCCCTGCTGCCCCGACCCCACTCCTGTGCGCTCAGACGAAAGCACAGAACTCACGGTCCGGTTTCCCGTACACCCCAAAGCGGCGTCCCGGTGGCTTGCTGTCGTCGCTCCCAGCCTTGCTGTCCTGCCTGTGGGCAGGCACTTGCCCTGTGGCTCCCAAGGCGAGAGTCGATGTGAAGGCTGAGCCACTCTGCTGGGCCACTCTGCAAAAGTGCACCCTGTTGAGGTGCTTGAGGAGCCATTTCTGGTAACACAGCCCCAGTCTGGTTTTTCTCAGAACCCCCTTTAGCTACTTAGAGCTCTTATCCCAGCATTAAGTTTTAAGCTCAGGGTAAAGGAATTGCAGGAGTTGGCATGGCCGGGTGTCTGCAAGCTGGGTTGGTGCCAGGAGACAGGATGCAGGAGTCGCCTTTCTGCTTGGTGTCAGAGAGACCTTGGTACAGGCTTGAATGACTTTTTTATTGTCTTAACCTAGATTTGGAAAAATCTTTGCTTAAAGCCCTGAGGAAGCTGGACGACTATTTAAATAGCCCCTTGCCCGATGAAATTGATGCTTACAGCACTGAGGAGATCACTGTTTCCAGCCGGAAGTTCCTGGATGGAGATGAGCTCACCTTAGCGGATTGCAACCTCCTACCAAAGCTTCATATAATCAAGGTTTGCCTTTGTTTTTTAGCTTCCTGAAGAGAAGGGCGACACAGAAGCTCAAGTCCATTTCCAAAAGGCAGAGGAATCCTTTATCTGTTCTGAGGCCACACAGTAGCTGCGTACGGACACTGAATGCTAATGCACAAGGCCATTTAATTGCAGCACAGCTAGGCAGATCCTCAGATTGGTGGCTCTGGAGGTAGAATATCTGGTTTCGTACCTGGGCTGTGGCCGCACTCACTAAGCCTCTCACAAGTATCAAATGAGTGCTATCTTCAGTGCTGTTGAGCAGTGTTTTCATTTGCATTTCACGTACAAAGTGCCATGGGCCAGTAAGGTGAAATGATTTTGTCCATGCTAATTCAAGAAGCCAGCAAAAGCTGAAATTTGCACCTGTCTCTCCTTCCTTTAATACAAAACTCTTGCTTTGCTGAATATCATCGCCAGTACCAATAATGCTGGCAGGGCAGCCTCCACCCACTGCCTTCCAGCCAAGGCTCCCAGCCTCTTTTTGCAGGGCTGTGGAGCATCTACTCACACCTGACAGTCCTGGTGACCAAGTTGTCTGGGTGTTGCCACAGCCTGCCCCTGGGCCACTCTGGAACCAACCAGGCTCTGGAAGAGAAATGGCCACACTGCAAATTCATCTGGTTTTCAAACAAAAAAGGCCACTTCAGGAAGTTTCCTTTTTGACTACTATTTTGTCAGAGGAAGAGTGGATTGAATTGCTTTCTGACACCTCCACAAGTGAAAACTTTCCCCAGAGATGTCCTGGTCGAACCTATTCCAGAGAGAGCAGCAAGGGAATGAGCCCTTTCCCACCCCACGCAAAGGTCAGGCACAGCGAAGCGCGAGAGGTAGCAGGGGTCAGCAGAGCCAATAAGCAGAGCCAATGCAGGGAGAATCACCTCAAGTCAGGTGAATGTCTGAAGGATGGTGGAGGATGGACGTCACACCATCCTTGCTGGCCAACAGGGAGGGATTAGGTATTGGCCAATGGTTGTTTTCCCTAGCCATTTGAAATTTAGTATTTTAATTCAAGTTTTTCCTTTCTGTTTCAGTGAAAGTACCCAGATGTGGGCCAGTTTATTACTGTGAGATTATTCTGTTAATTCTGGTTTATGCTAGCTCCTTTGCTGTTTTAAGCTGCATCTCCTCCAGGTGTGGTCTACTGGTCCACATAGCTCTGCATAGCTCTAGCAGAATATTAATACCAAACAAATCCTTTTAAGTGAGTTAGCTTGTTAGCTAGCATTCTTCATCCCATGTCTTCTTGGTTTTTTGTGTCTTTCCTTTTCCTTTCCCTCTACATTGCATATAATGAGAGACTTACACAGTGAAAATTAAAAGTGTGCATAAAGAGTAGATTTGGGTTTTTTTGCAGATCGTGTGTAATGATATTTTTCTTTTTTCTTTTCATAAAAGGTTGTTGCAAAAAAATATAGAAATTTTGATTTTCCACCTGAAATGACAGGGATTTCAAGATACTTGAACAACGCATATGCAAGAGATGAATTTACAAACACTTGTCCTGCTGATCAAGAAATTGAGTATGCGTATTTGGATGTTGCAAAGAGAATGAAGTAAACAGAAGATGCCTCCACTCTTCATTACTTGCGAGATTTAGATGGACACCAGCCAATACAGAAAAAACAAAAGCCAGCGTACATTCTGCAGTGTAATTTTAAGTTCTGCTATTGGCCAATCCTTCTTTTATAATGATTGTATAGCATTATTTGCTCATTCTTAAATTATATATGTTTGTGCGTCTGTACAGATGTCTGCACACATGAATGTCTTGTGCATTGCAAGCTAAGGGCATCGGTCAATATTAAAGCATTTGTTGAAGTTGGGGCAACAGTGTAGGTCACACAATTATAGCAATATTACAGACTAGTGACTTATACTAAATTGCTGGATTTGGGGAAGAAATAGCCCTGTTTCTAACACACGTTTAACCTGTCGTTATTGCTGCCTCTGGTCTCTGTTTCACAGTTGTTGCCAAACTTCACAGTTACCGGGAGGGTTTCTGTTCGCTTCTCTGCAAGCCTCGGAGGGCCGCAAGCCAGCAGCTGGTGCTCGTGCAGCACCCTGGTTAGCCCAGGAGAGAGGCCAGCCTGTAGGTGGGACCACACCTGACTTCCCAGAAGCCCTCTCCTCTGTGCTGGGGACCTGCAGGGCAGGTCAACAAAGAACAACTCCTTTTCACATTGCATGAGTCTTCTTTGAAATTAAAAACAAACAAACAAACAAACAAATAAATAAATAAGTAAAAATTCCTGAAGAAACCTCTCTCAGGGCTGCATAACCCATCAAACTTCCTTCCTGGTGCTCCCAAAGAGAGGAACACAGGCTGTCACTGGCCTACGGACTATCTGATAATAAGTATTCAACAAGGGAGGAGGGAGAGACTTGGTTGTCACCGTAGACAGAGGAAATGGGTGATGTAGATGGGTGATCCTACTGATGGAGGATCTCTCTTTGTCATCCTTCCATGACTCTCATTTGGTTTTGGAAAGCAAAGAGGAGGAGAGCATCTAAGAAAGAAACAGTCCTCCAGCCTGGCATCAGGGAGCGCACTATTAGAGATGTATGGACTATAAAAAGCGATGTCCACAGCTGCTTTCTGCTGAGCAGGCCCTCAGCAAGCACATAGGAGTAGAGGGTGCAATGCTTTAGTCATAGGGTCACCTGGAAGTTTCCTTCTGATGGATTTTGCCTGTATGTACAGAATAGATGCGAAAATGGCTAAAAATAGCCTTTGTAGCACCTATAGCCACAAAAAGACCATTATAGCCTCGCCATTCATCCTTGTCCATGTCAAACGTGTGCTTGCTTTCTAACAAAGCATTAGTTAATGGTAATAGTCGGTGTCAGATATATTGTGTCTGCGCTGTTTTTGTCTGACACGCTACACAGTTCTGATGCAAATGTGCTATCTTCACAATTATTTGTAGGCATTGTTCAATATGCAGGTTTAGTTTGCCTTTAGAGAAAACAGATACATGACCTTTCCCCTCCCACCCTCAATTGTGAACTTTCATATTGGGGTTGATAGCTGAGCAGTCACTCATCACAGGTTACTAACTGTTACTTTGTATTTTCAAATGCATACATATATATATAATATATATAAAAAATGAAATCTGTATACTCTTTTCATATGCCTTACAAATTTAAATAGAAATTATACAAATTCATAAGTAATTTGAATAGTGTTCTGTCTTTATTTCCTTGGTAATTTCCTGGTACGATGCATTGCAGCAGTGGCCTGGATTTTAAGAAGTAAGAGGCACAATTTAACCCAGCTTTGATTCCGGAGGAATCATGTGTGTCGCAGACCTGCAGTGAGATATCGGGAGCAATACATACTGGCTGTGCCCATTACTGCGGAATAAAAAACCAAAAGGCCAGGGTGTAATACTTGACCGCCGAGCCACCTAGCACAAACTGTCCCGCATCTGTGATGCTTCAGGGCTGGCCACATTTGTAACTGTTTGTTCTGGAGAGATCTGGAGAACTGTTGGGAGACCCACTTGGGATGATCCAAAGCAGCCAGGGACTGTCCACGCTGCTCGGCAGCTCTTGAAGCAATCCAAATGCATGAGCCTGCTCCTGGCCCTCTCTTACTTCTCACCATATAGACAGTTATGGCTGTTTATCATCAATAAATAACAAGAGAGCCTGGGCTATTCTCTGGCCCTGAGAGCATGTAGCAATGTAGGTTCACATCCGTACGGCTCTTTTCTACCTCCTGGAAACAGGGTGGCCATGCTGGTTGTGGAGAACAGTACCTATCTCCAAATCATGCCTGGATGTTGGTGGAGCAATGCTCTTTTGGCACAAGTCAGAGTATTTGTAACACAAGTCTTGAGGTTAGGGAAGATGAATGAAAATGTGCGTGTGAAAGCGCTAGAAGGAACAGAAAAACAAGGGTTAAACAAAGGATTAGGTTAATCCGTACAGGGCACTGTAGAAGTAAATTCTTTCAAAGGACCTGATAGCAAGAAGGCAAAGAACAAACTGAAGCCTCAAGCTAAGGTAAAGAGGGGAGGAGGAACAGGAGGGGAGCCATAAAACATCCTGATAAAACAACAGAACAATGGGAAGCAGGAATTTTGCCTTTGACTTAAAGATCCTGACAGATCCCTAGGGGGTATAAAAGGACATCCAGAAAACAGCTTGCTGTCGCCATGAAGAACTGAAGAGCTGTGCCAGGACTCCACAGCCGGTGGCACTGGCCTGCCACCTCACGCACAGACTGCCTGGGTGGGTGTCTGGGTGCAGATGACCCATGGGACACTGAAAGCGAGTAAAATACGTGCCATTTAGAATAAATATCACCCTTCTCTTCCACAAGGTCCCACACTGGCTTTCCTTCCCCTGGACCCACAGCAACGACTGTCCCGTGGCCTGGCCCTGCCTGCCTTCCCAACCGAAACACGGCACCCGTGTCCGCATCCGGAGCCGGCTGCAGCTCAGGAGCTGGTGTGCCCGGGCTCAGTGGCAGCCCATCGCCGTTTGTCCTTACTGAGTGAAAAGGGCAAGAGCCATATCTGCCTGAAACACCACGCTGCTTTGTGTTATGCCCATGTTTATGGTTTATAGACACCATGAAACTTCTTTTTGTCTCCAGATCATTCATTTAAACTCCCTCGCCCTGTCCTCTTTTTCTAAGGCGTCATCAAAATCACATGCCTGCACTTCCAGTACTGTCAGGTGAAGGGAAAAAAAGCCTCAGACACTCAGCAAACAGGTGGGTTTTTTCCTTAAAAATCTGACATTGCTTGGAAGGGTATTTGATTAAATGCATGTGGCCACTGATAGTTTTGAAACCTAATGTTTTGTGGTTTCCTTACTCCTCTTACTCATGCAAAAGAAGTTCATGGCTCCAGCCCTCCATGGCGGATTGTTGGGCACACATGATGCTACCTAAAACAGCACGTTATGTTTGGTGTTTGCGTATTTCAGGCCACACAGGGAGAAAATGTGGGTAGAGACATGACAGAAATGACCCAGCATATGAGAAAACTGAAGTCGCTTCATTTGTCCTGGGATGGGGTGAGCTGGCGTGTCCGCATGATCCCACAGTAAATGAATCCATACCTACTACACATTTTGAGTGTGAGGCTGGCCCTCCTTAAAACACATTATTTTAAGAAAATACCTTTGTCCATATTTGAGTTATTCTATTTTTAAAAGACCGTTGAAATATATTTTTTAACCAATTTACTGGATAACAAATTAGATGAGATAAAGGGAGAGAGAAAGCAAGTTGTGGTGTTAACAGTATCACCAGCTGTCTGAATGGCCTTGACATGCAATAAGATGTAATATCTAGACACAGATTTGTAGTGCTTGATCCCATGCCAGGGCAGAGATCATGTTCCATTATTTAAAGGCATGTTTGCAGAGATAAAGCTACTGATTTCCAAATGCTTATTAGCACAAGTAGTCTTTTGTGTGGTGTTGCTTGTAGAAAAAATGTTTTTATTATATTATCATTTTAAAAACAATTTTTACATGTCCCTTTTAAACACCTATTATACGCAAGGCAAATACAGTCAGGCAGCTACTTTATTAATTACTCTTCAACCACTTGTGTAGAAAACTCTTCAAGATTTGAAGATTTCTTTCTCAGCTTCAGTATCTTAGTTTTCAGCACTATCCATCAACTTGAAGGTTAAACACTACTTGCGCTCAATGCAGTATTTCCAAAAGCAAGCTGAAATAAAATCAAATGTAGGATAACTAACTGTAATATATTTCCCCCAATGCATTCTTTTTTTTAAAATAGCTTCAAAGTAATGAAAAAATAAACCTCATGAAAGCAAGTTACTATCCCTCATCCGTATCAACATGCTGTTTGTTTGAGTATAAGCAAATATCTACATTTCACAAGCTCCTTGCAACTGGTTGAAGTTTAGTTTAAAAGCCAGGTTTTTTCCTAGGTTCCTAGAAAGGTTATTTCTAAGCTGTCAAGAGCCAGTTATCAACTGCTAAGGTGAGGCATGACCCTGAAAGTTCAAGCCAACAGAAACTACCCACAGCATGGTAGAGCCTTGACTAGGTTAGCAAACGTCCCTCTAAACCAGCCACCCCAAGTGCTGACATCACCCAGTCGCTGCCAGCCACCCAGGTGCCCCCCGTGGACCCTTAAAAGCTGCTGAAAGGCTCACAGTGGTTCTGCGGACGTTCACCGTGACTTCACTGACCGCGCACAGGAGCTGCTGCCCTACCATCTGAGTTTCCTGGTTAGAGATACTGAATGCCTGGCAGAGCTGGGAGAGCAGAGGTTTGCCACACGGCTCACTGCTACGTTCTCCCGTCAGCAGCCTCAGCTGGCGTCGTATCCCTGAACTACTCTTAGTTGTCTCATGTGACAAAGACCCGAACGCAGGCCCGGCTCATGAGCGACGGGGTAAAGCAAGCTGGTTGCTAATGCACGGCTCGGACCAGCATTCAGTTTTCCTTCACTAGCAAACTGCAAAGAAGTGAAGGAGCAAGGTTTTTCCAGGTCCTGGCCTAAATTGGACTCCTGCTGATTAAGAAGTTTTTACTGATGAGCAGAATGCAAACAGAAAAATCTCTTGTGGAAATGAACTAAGGGAAACAAGAGTCTTACTTCAAAATTTGAAAATTGTTCAACTTTTTGATTAAATCAAACCAATGAGCTGAAATAAAAATAAATGTTCCTTTTCAAAAACTGAAGGTATTTGTTTTTCTTGGGTTTCTTCCTTCTATCATACCCTTCCCTTTATTTTATTTTTTTTTCAGTGATGAAAGGGGGGAAAATGAGAGCTGGAGGTGCTGGAGAAGAAAAGAAAAAAGACCACAGAATAC